TCCTCCGTGCTCCAAAATGATTAAATTTTAAGCCTTTCATTATATGCAGAAGTTACATCCACATGAGGCCAAACAGCAAATAAGCCAGAGCAATTACCTCACTTAAAACGCACAGAGAGGTTGCTGAGCTCATATTTTTTAAATGACTGGTAGAGCAATCAAAGCACAGATGGCTTCATGATTAAAACACAGGGGGCAGTATTCAAAAACCACGCATTGAATTGAAACTTCAAGTGCTCCGAAGATCAAGGTTTTGCAGGAATTCCAGAATTGATTTCTGCACTGGGACCTGTGGTGCAGCTCACAAGACAGGGACTGGATGAAAGTCCTATGCAATAGGAGCTGGGGTGCCTGCATGCCTGTAGTCTCTGCTGGTCTGGTGTTTAACCTCACAAACACTGGGCTGAAAGACTTCTCCCGTCTCCCTGGTGTGGCTTCCAGGACACTGAACACCGCATTTTAACCTGAAACAACTCTTCTTTGCAGGTCGGAGTCTTTCTATTATCCCGAGAGCAGTGAGAGACCGACTGTGGGCCGTTTCTGGAGTGTGGGAGCGACTCGAGAGCCCAGTCAGACCCCACCTTGAGCAGCACAGTGTTCAACAACCCTGACATGATCAGAGTTCAGTTACCGAAAACCGGCTTCCAAACCAGGCCAAACCCGGAACAAAACTCAATATTAAAAAGGAGAATTGGTTATAATGTATATACTATATAGTGGAAACATGTTACCCCCCATTACTCATACCCATGAACACGTTGATTTAAGACACATCCTGCTGGATATTAGCAGCAGGAATGAGCTTCCCTATCCCAGCTCTCAGAGTGAGCCATCACACTCAGAGGTCGAAGATCACATTTGTCTTTCTGCCACACCTGTGTGGAGAGACCTGGCTGCGTCCGCCTGCTGAGTCAACAGCAGAACGAATCCGTGTGGATCCAGAGGCGCGCACGGCACTTTCAGTCAAGAGCACAGGAAAGCCACAGAGTGCGGGCTTCTGCGAGCTAACTTGCTGTGCAAATAATTTTATAACAAATAGCTTAAATTATGCATTCAACAGGAGGGCCCGAGCGGAATCTGATTGGGAGGAATGCGCACTCAATAAACCTAGAAATAAAAACCTCTCTCAGGTTCAGCAAGCTGTACTCCAGTTATGAAAGCAATGAATAACCTTGCTTCAGAGAGACCGTAATTGAGAATATGCGTCTGGGCTGATGAAAACAAACTGGTTTCACTAGAGGGCTCAGGCAGCAGCTGGAGTGAGACCTGTTGATTCTGCCGGGCTGTTGTCAAGACACTCCTGCCGGGGGGAGCCATCGGCGCCCATGGCAACATCAGTTGGAACTAGTGTACAACTTGGGATATTTTAAAGCTTTTTTTTTTTGTTTAGTTTTTTAGTTTTGTTTAGTCTTTTTTTTTGTTTACTTTAATCTGCACAGTCGAGGGGCCTCAGTCAGGTGGGTTCTCTCCAGGCGCTCTGCTGTCCCATCCTGCCTCACTCCCACTGCCTGCTGGGATAGGCTGAGACTCCCCACGATGGTGCCTCGGACCAGCACTTATGAAAACCGAAGGCTGGTCTCTACGTCGCTTAATTTCACGAGTTATCCGGGCCTGAGACCCCCTGGGGCTCCTCCGATCCCACTGGGAGTCTGGCTCTTCCTCTCCCCTGCGCCCACATGGTCAACTGTTGCTATGGTAACTGCTTCGGAAGTCTGTGGAACCCTCCGTAACCAAGTTCCACGAAGGCTGCTAGGCCAGATCGAGCGATTTCATTGATCACCGTTCAACCGTACCGAGTGTCTGGAAACTGCTGGGCCAGGCCTCTGCAGGACCAGGGTGGGGGGTATCGGCAGGGTAGGAAAAGCCGTCAACATGCTCCAGTCAGGCCAGTTACGAGCTCAACTGGGTTAGGAGCGGAGCTGGGATGAAATCTGAGCTCCGGTTGCGCTGCCCTGGTCTATATAGTCCCCAGCTGCTGCGTCCCTGACCGTAGCCACACGACTCCCAGTCTGGCCCCCTCACACTGGCTGCCAGCACAATACAGGATCGGCCTTACTGTTTATGTCTAATACCACAGAGATTTTAGCACTGAGGGCAGGCCGTGGTATTAAAGAAAACATCAGTAATGAGCCCTTTTGCTTGCCAAGAGAGTGCCAGTCTCCCCAGAGATGCACGCTGGCTGACACCCACCCGTTCAAAGAAATGTTTGCACAAACCAGGAAGTGAAGGAGGCGAGTGACCTGCAGTTACCATGGCAACGGCTGGGGGCCTTTATCCCCATACAGATGACCTCTGAACCTGAGCAGATTATCCCAGCACCAGATTAAACAATAAACAACCTGTAATACCTACTGAATGGGGGTGTGGGGGTGAATATTTTCCACCCCCCATCTTCAGAAGGTCTTAGCCAGGCTGTCTCAGGGCACGATAAATTAACGTCTAGGTTGCGCCTGGGCTGCGAGTGGAGACGCCGGTCGGACTGCGTACCGGAAGTGTCTCTGCCTCGCGTGCCCCGCCAGTTCCGGCCGTGACAGAATAAAGAAAGTGAAATTAGGCGTCTTCCACAGCTGGGTTGTTTTTACAGTCGCCTGTGCCAGTGAAATACGGGCTGTCATTAAATTATCTAAAAACGAGCTGCTTCGATATCATCAGTGTTGTTGTTAATAATAACAATAACAATAATATTCTTGTAAGTAAATAATAAAAATGGTATGGGGTTCATAAACTATACAAGGCCTATATGAACGACAAAAACAGTCTCTTGAAAACCTCAAACGAGTGATATTCACACCCGTTGTCAACCTTGAGTTCGGTCCAAACGAGCTGACGGTCTTTTTATGGTTCGGGTCCTGGCCGAGGCTGAAGATACGGAACCTTATGAAGGTGTGAGCCGGGAGGGACACCGGAGACCGACGGGCTCCTAGCACCCCAGTCTATCCGCATTACAACACATGAACTGAAATCGGTCGTCTACAAACCCTTCGTTATAAGCCCGCACGGTCACACGTGCAGTGAGACATGAAGGATGAATTATACCAAGGGTTAACACCGCGAACAACTACAATCCGTGCGAAACACTACTAGTTACTGACCTGTTGACAACCGTCTTGCTTTTAAAACTAGAATCACACACACAGTGCCTTGGGGGGGGGATCCTGGAGGTATTTTATTCTGCCCGGGACAACAGCCCGGCGGGGTAAACTGAAGCGCACACTGCCGTCCTCACCCCTCGCGTCACAGGGCGCGCCGGCCGGAACTCACCTTCCTGGCCTCCTGGATCAGCCTCCGAACCACCGCCTTGATGTGGGGCCCGTTCTCCTTCGGGGGGTGCGTGTGAACCGTCACCCGGGTGACCCCCTTGTAGAAGCCGGTGTCCGGCCAGCCGATGTCCAGCGGCGGCACCTCCGTGTCCGACATCTTGGGCCAGTAAGTGGAATGCACGCCCGAGTCGGCTTTGGACCCGGCCGCGCCGGGCGGTTCCGAGCCCAACTTGTCCTCGCCGTCCGTCTCGTACTCGCGGAAGGTTTCGCGGATCCTCCTGATCTCCCGGGAGGAGAGGAACTCCTTGATGTCGTCCTGCTTGATGCGCATCCTGAAGGCTCCGTCGCCGTTCTTGAGAAGCTGCTCCACTGCCCCCCGCTGTTCCTCGCTGTAGTAAAACTCGGGTTTGGACTCCGGCACCTTCTCGTTGACGTGGTCGTCGTCCATGCACGCCAGCTGGGAGTCGGCCATCGCAGTGCCACTCCGATCCCCTCCGCCCTCCCCTGATGAGAAACACTTAAAGCCGACGTCTGCCTCCAGAGACAACCGGGAACATCTTCGCTTTCACCTGTGACTAAACTGCAGGTGAGTTGTGTCTGGGCGGGGCCTACTGAATGGGCGTGGCAGGGGGGCGTGGGTGGCGACGGCTCCAGCCAATCACGCTTCTCCCCTATCAAGGAATGCGGTATCGGAGGGATCTGGGCGGGGTTCGCAGACGTAAACGTGTCCCGTTTAGGAAAAGCCGGCCCTTGCTTTGATTAACTCCGTCTTGACTCATACAGGAGAAGGAAAAGGTCTAACCAACTATAAATCACACGCATGCACGAACGTTTTCAGCCTTTACCTTTATTGATCGACAATGCTCTATGTGGTATGTATGCAGTCGTCCGGTAATAATGTATGTACTCTAAATGTTAACATTGTGTTACTCGTATCTGCTTTGGCAACGCTGTAATTTATCGGCGCTGCCAATAAAGACCCTTGAATTGAATTGAGTTTCCGCCAGTCTCGATAAAAGACTTGATTAAGACAAGCACAACAAAGGAATGGACAGAGAAATCGATATTAGTAACACCACTCCTTTCAATTTAAAGAGCTCGTGTAAGCTTGATCATACAAGAGCAAATACCTTCCCTAACATACACAATCCCCGAATGATTTATCATTTGATTCAGTTGTATTCCCCCAAAAAACTGCATTCTCTCCGTTTGTAGCCCTTATTGATTTTTAAAGACGTCGATCAAGGCTTGTACAAGGTTTGTACTTCTGTAAGTGTAACGATCAAGCAGTGGACAGAGACAATATCCTTCCTTCTGTGTAATATTTGGATTGACGTCCTGCAAAAATTAGTTCCGAGCCTGATTTAGAGGAGATTGCTTCATTTTCATTAAAGACCCCCCCCCCCCAAGACCTCCCCTGCTGGTCTCGACCTTGGCCCTGATGAAAAGATCCCGTACACGGCCCGACCGGGCTGTCCGCCGAATCGTCCAGTCCGGAGAGCCGCTCAGCTGCGGAATGCCAGACCGGCCCGTCAGAAGCGAACCGACACCGAACCGCAGCAGCAAACACGCAAAATGAAAGACTCAGCCCAGCGTGGGCCAACGCCCCAGGGGCAAACAAGAGAGCCGCGCCCGCCGTGGGCTGCTTCGGAAAACTATTTGGAAAATTTCCTGCAGTTCCCTGTTCCTCAGCCCAGTCGTCATGGCAACGGGGCGGCCGCCCGACTGGTTCTGGTCCCTCTGCCCCATCGCCCGGAGCCTAAGAGCGACGTGACGTCACTCATTTTCATCTCGGCGCCTCACGCCGTCATGCCCCGTGATAGGGTGCAGCTAGGTCCAGTAAAACGCACAAAACACAGCTGGTTCTTTCAGGCCTCACGCTGATAACGCGGATCCCTGTCTCTCGTCATTGCCCTGGAACAGCTGAAGCTGTTAACCGGCTCTCGACCTGGTTTGTCAACAGTGAACTGCTGCTGCAAGGGGTCGTGCTAATTTTTAAATGTCGCCTCCGTTTCTTCCGAGACGGCGGAAGCTGCCGAGCAGATGGCGGTGCAGGCTCTCATGCTATTTATCTAATCTTCTACGTAGCGCATTAAAATCAGCACATCAGTACAGGAGCCGCTGTGCATCAGATAAAAAGCTCGATTCGGGTCGAGCCGGGGCACGAGCCACAGTTAACACCTCTCGGTTGGTTCCTGCTGCAAATGCACGTGACTGCGAAGGAAGAGGAGGAGGAGGAGGAACGCGGATAGTTGATCAGCGATTGAAAGGCAGATAAGAGGTGGAGAAAAACAAAAACACCACCGTATGAATGCCTTTAAAGACGATCCTGCTCCTCCGCTGACAGCTGGACTTCCCCTCCTGTAGAAAGACTTCCTGGATCACGGGTTCCGCACTGACGGGTGCGGCGTGCCTTTCATACCGACGCCGGCCGTCCGTGAAAAGACTGCCCTTATTTTCCAATAAGACTGTGGGCTTGGGTGGTGGCCTTATTGTCCCAGGTGCACGCACAGGTATTGTACAGCAGAGTGCACCTGTTGGGGAAACTGAAAGTGTGCCATCACTCCCCAAATCGAGCGCCGATGTATTTAGGCTCTGGCTGATGTCCACCCTTGCCGACTGTCCACTGCATTCATCGCTCAGCTTAGCCCGTGCTAACTGGACAGTGACGCCCCTGGACCCTCTGTGGAGCCCGCGAGTCCTCCAGGACAGCGCCTCACCAGTCACCTGCAGCAGCCAGGCTCCTGGGTCAGGAAGTGGGAAGACGATGGTTTTCCACCCAGTGACCCAGGGGAAATAAAGACACTTTGACGCTCAGAGGAAGCTGGCTCACTGGGGTGCTTGGGCAGCAGCCCGACTAAACAAAAGAAATGAACGTGCAATGAAAGAAAGTCCATCCAGTGGACAGCTCCACTCTGACCAGCAGGAACACCTGAAGCCTGAAGCCGACTGGTTAAGAGGGAGAGAGCATTTAGAACCAAACTCTGGAGGGACTCTACACAAAGGGTGGTGGGGGTGTGCTGCTGTCAAAGCTTGGATGCTGAAGCTGCTGGAAGGGAGATGGCCACATGAGTTTCTTGTGGTTTGTAAGGTGGGCTCATCTGCTCGAGGTCTTCAAGCCCGCAAGAGTCGGCGAGATGTCAAGCGAGCACCTGGCCAGACTAGTGGTCCTCCCCTTGCCCCTCTCCCCACTCTCCTCGCGCCCCCCAGCGCACCCCCAGGTGCCCCCGCCGACACCGCCGTCTCTGGACGGCAGCCAGAAACAAAACGGATTGAAAAAGAAGGGGCAGAGGCTGGTTTGGCGACGATATCGTTCTCATTTGTTTTTATTAGAACTCGTACGACAAACAACACGGGCAATGGACTCTTGGGACGGCAAGGCACTTGGGAAGAAACAGAGGACCGGTCCTGGACTGAGATGGACCGGTGCCGCTGTCCGGCGAGCGGGGATGGCCCACGATGCACTGGGGACGTCTCTCGGATGTGGCCGATCCTCCGGCAGGACTCCGGGAGCCGGCGAGAGGCACAGACTGACCCCTGTTGCTACTGGAGGTCAGCGTGTCCAGAGCCAACAAGGAGCATGCTTTGCGCCTTGGAGCACTGGACCCTCATAAACACACACGCACACGCGCACACGCAGACCAGCAGACTCAACGTCTAGCAGGGCAGGGGGGTGAGGAGTCGCGGGGAGCCGAGGGTCCTGCAGACGGCACGCGGACCCGCATGTCACGCCGGCCGCGATGAGCCGCCACTGCCTGCGAAATCCGCGAGCTGCTGGGGCAGGCCGCACTCCGAGAGGTTTGGTCCCGTTGCAAGCAGTTTCTTTTTGTAAAACAAACAAACACACACAAACGACAGCAATTCCGTTTGTTGGGATTGGGCCGGGGAAGTTTCCCTGGGGGTGCTCAGGGTTTTCGCAGGAGTGCCGCTCATCGCGCTCGGTAAGGAGCACGGACAAAAGGCCGCAGGAGACCGATCTCCGCTGGGACGCTGGAATCGGCTACACGGCCTGGGCTGGCTGGGAGGACAAACCCACATTAAACACGAGGCTGAAGCAATAATGAGAAACAGTGAATTAGAGACCCGGGGGTGCCCAGCGATTCTCTCTCGAGAAAGCCACCATCCCTGCCAGAGGCTTTCCAAAATCATCTTTTTCTACAACATTAGTATCGCTAACGTGCCCCCCCCACCCCTAACATGGGAGATGGGCCGAGCCATGGACATGTTCTCAGGGAAGCATGCTGTGTTTCAGCGGAATGTTCCACTGCTCCCTGGACGAGGGGGGTGTTCTCAGAGTGGTACGATGTAGTTAGAGGGGAAGAGGCCCGTCTGCCCACGCAGCCTCCCCCGCCACCAGGAGGGGTCCGAGCGGTCCAGAACCTCGATGATGTCGCCGGTGCGGAAGCCGAGTTCGTCGCTCTCTTCTGCCATGAAGTCGTATAGTGCCTTCACCCTGAACACTGAGCTCTGCAACACAGGAGACGCACACTGGAGATCAGAGACGGGAGGCGACAGCAGACTGCTGCCAAAGACGGATTTGTACTGAACCCTTATGCACTTGTGCCCGGCTCTGCCTCCGAGCTCAGCGTTTCGCTGGAGTTTACATGATCCCTGAGAAAGCTGTTCTTTTCAAAAGCAAGATTCCCCGTGCTTTTTATCGTTCACATCCAGACAGGACGGAAACCTAAGGGTTACAGGGCTGTTCTAATTAAGCTCAGCTGGCACTCTGCGTTCAGGCTGCTGCCTGGTGCCTGGCGACTGCTGATGCATGACTGTCATGTCCGGACCGACAGCAGACGCGTCATAAAAGTGGAGTCATTTAATCCAAGCTCACTGGGAGGCACCAGCAGATGCAGCAGGGTCCAGCAGAACGAGGTGAAGGTTTTACACCCCATCCTCCAGGACCAGAGCACGAGAAGGTTCAAGGCCCTGTTAAGTGGCACAGCTGGGGTCTGAACCGGGAACTGCCAGCCACACCATCACACAAGGCCCCCCACTGCTCTGGGGGCGGAGGAAGACGATTCTCCTGCAGCCATGCGGACACGAGGGGGTGCTGCCGAGCGCTCTGGGCCGTACGCACCTGTACGGGGGGCAGGGGTTCGGATGGGCGTCGAGGCGGGCCGCAGGTTCCGGAGCTGCCCATCCCCGAGTGCGGGGCGTGCACCCGGTCATCCAGACTGCTCCGCTTTATCTGGATAAGAGAGAGAGAGATGGGAGAGAGGGGGTGGGGGGGGATGTTTAGAAAACTTCCAGCTCGGTGCGCCTGGGAAAAGCCAAATCCATTGGGAATTTCACTTCCCAGAATCCAGTCACAGTGGGCAGCAGAGGCCCTGGGCTCGGTTCCTCAGTTTTTAGCAACATGAAATGCACCTCTTTGCAAGGGTCTTCAGCAGATGACGGAGCAAAGAAGCCCAATAAAATATACAGCCTCCTGCTTCTCCAGGCCTGAGCGCAGTCCTTAACCCCTGCATGCATGCTAAGAGAAGGAGCTACATCAATATTACAGAGAGAGCGACTGCCCCACAGGGGTCTCCGGCCGGGACTGCTCAGGCTGTCTGGTCTCCCCATCAGGGATTGGACGGGGGACCCCGGTGTCCTTACCTGTTGGGAGGGGATGTCGGAAGGCCTGCGATGGGCTCCTGGATTAGGAAGACCCCCGAAACCAGCTAAGGGGTGGCCTCTCTCCTCGTGACTGCCCCTCTTGGTCTGAGGGAAAGAGAGAAAGAGCAGGGGGGTGGGGAGTCGAGAAGACTGACTGGCCTGAACACTGCAGGAGCTCCAGCATGTCTTCCGGTTTCACTCCACCCTGGACTCGCAGCGACCTGACTCGATCACTCCACGGGGCTCCCTGACCTCTGGCTGAAGGCCTGTGCTCATTGGGGATCCTAGTTACCCGCCAAACCCGGTGGCACCGGAGACCCTGCAGTGAACATCAGTGCTGTAGCACCGCAGCGCTGCGCTGGGACAGGGAACGCCCTCCTGAGATACAGAGCATGTGGAGAGCACAAGGTTGCTAGGGCTTATGGGAATGAATATTAACCACCTCTGGCTGCCAGCTGTTTCAGAATGCTGAGGAGAGGACAGAACCATTTACAGAGGCTTCCAATTATGCCTTTGCATATAAACATTGAGCCATAATTAGCAGCCAAGCACAGCTGTTTCACCCTTATTGGGTCTCCCCACATGACACAGGCAACTCTTGACTGCTGAAACAGACACTAGAAAGGATATGTACCTAACAAGGAGCGCCTTCAGTTTATAGTATTTCTTGAAAGCATGCATCTACTGTATGCACCCTTATAAATGAATCTGCCTCACTGTCTGAAGTCAGGCAGGTCAAGATGAGAAGCTGTAATAAAAGCAACACACTGCCTCTCTAAAGGTGGAATCAGAAGCCTGCTTAGACAGTTAGCAAGCCCCCTTCTGCACTGAGAAATGGCAGGCGCTAATTAATACTCATCTTCATTCATTTGCAGTAACTAGGGAAATCTACACAGACGGCAGTGCAAATTAGGAGATATTCAAGCACAGCTTCAGACCACTACAAATACCCCAGATCTGCTCCTCATCAGGACCGTACAGAAGCGTGCTGGTTTCAGTGGTCGCAGGACCAGCTGGACCACGCGGCTGAGTCCTCACGAGGGCGAAGCGCTTGCCCGTGGCCGCTGTGGAGCTCAAGGCCGTTCTGCTCGCCAGCCACGGCTGTCCCATCATCCCACAAGCCGCCCGCCACCCACGGCGGCGTCGTTCAGATCACCCGGGCCTCGGCGCCAGATCGGGACCGGGACCGGGACCGGGGAGGGGGGTTACCTGCATGTGTGGGGGGAAGGGCGGCTCGTCCCGGGACCCGTCCCGCAGGAAGATCTGCTTCTGCTTGGAGATGGAGTTGGTCTTGTAGTACTCCACCAGCTTGTTGAGGGAGGGGAACTTCTCCGACCAGAGGAAGTAGCTGCCCTTCCCGTCCTTCATCACCTTGAAGTGCTGCACGTCCGTCTCGTGCCTGCGGGGGGGACACGGGGCTGGCATCAGGTGGGCAAGCGGGTGGGACTCTTGTGCAGGACACGTTCCTTTTCAGTCCTGCATTTGCCTCTTCTGGACTACCAGCGGGACTGAATTCCCCCCACACTGCTACCCACTGCAATTCTTGGAAGGCTGTCGGCTTCTATCTGCGATTTACACCGGATATCAGAAGTCTACGCACCAGTTTTGTCTTCAATTTTGCCTGAAAACGATCCATTTGTTTTCCCACTTCAATATCTGATGTGATCGGTCTCGATTTCAGCCTCGACATCGGCGAAAGCTGAGCTGTCGGTAAGGGCGTGTGTGGACGTCCGATACCCCCTGTACATCCTGCGCTGCCTTTCCTCCCCTCCCCCCGTTAAAACACTGCGCCCTGGCGTCCAATTTGAAAGGGAAATTGGGAAAAACAGTAAAACCGACAAAATTCAAAGATATTTGTCTACCCTGCAAAAAAAAAAGGGCAGAAATCCAATGACCGGTTTTCAGAATTGAAAGGGTATAATTAAAAAAAAATAAAACCGAACTTTCTGCTTTTAAGATCAAACGCTCTGTTGAATTGCACACCAAAGCCTGCTCCTCAAACGGGGAGGTTTTCACACAGGCGCTGGCCTCCAGACTGGCAGTGAAGTGTGTCTTCCCAGGAAGTAGACCCCCCCCTCCGGAGCTCCCACCTGACGGAGATTGAGAAATCCCCCGGAGAGCTCTGGCTGCCGCGGATCAGGAAGGTGCCCACCTCCCGGGACATCAGGGTCTCCTCCGCAGACAGGCGCCGGGCATCCTCCTGGTACCAGCTGGGAGAGAGAGAGAGAGATACTCTGGGATTAGAGAAACATTCTTCCCAAAATTCAGAAATTGAATCCCAGAGTTCCCACACCTGCCAAAACCACAACAGGTCCCAATCCTACTGGGAGAGGGAGGAGGGAACTCAGTTGATCTGGCAGCCCAGTATGTGACCTCCTGTCCCAGCCTGAGGAACAGTGAGTCTGTCTCCCAATAATGCTCCAGCCGCCTACACTATATGTCAAGATTTTATAATATGTCTTTGCTGTAAATGTCTGTAACATGTCTGTAGGTTTTATTTTACTTCTATTTTTTTGTCTTGTTCCATGTTAATTTTATTTGCTTCGGCAACACTGATTGTGCCCATCGGTCATGCTAATAAAGCCCCTTGAATTGAACTGAATTGAGAGAGAGCCCAGGGACAGGGGCGTCAGGGAGCAGGGGGTTGGCACGAGAGCCGACGCCAGAAGACCAGCAGCACGAGCTCCGGATTCCCCAGGGATCTGCTGCCGGATAAAGGTCTCGGCTCTGGAGGTGAAGCGCCGGATCCCCGCGGGACAAGCCCGCCGCTTTTTTTAAGGACTCAAGGCGCGACGGGAGATACGCGGGAAGGGAGGTTTCGTTAAGAGAAGGCTCGGGAGGTAGAGGCTGTGACAAAGGCACCGCTCTGGAATCCCTCTTCCGCGTCACAACCCGCGCAGAAAGGAGAGCGCGTTGTGACGTATAAACGAGCAGATTAAATCGCGACGTCTGCGCTTCCGTTATGTCACGTAAAAGGCCATTTCTGAAAGTCTGAAACAAGATATCACATTTCTTTTAACCAAGGTTCACAGCTGAGAAAATGTTACACTGCCCTGCACTTTGGAGAGAGAAAGGCAACGGGTGACCCCTAGTGGCCAGGTGTGGCATAACACACTCACCATTCCACAAGATAGCCGAACCTCTTTCCTAGCAAATGGTAACCCCGTTTTTTTTAAAAAGGGGGGACAGATATTGAGAGGGCAGTCCAGAAGCAGACAGAATAGTTTTATTTGATTAGTTCTTGAAAACAGCTAGAACCAATGCACATGGGGAAATGCCAGGGAGACTCCTCGTCAGCTGAGAAATGTCACTTTCCGTAGAGGTGTTGATCTATCCGAGGTCTGCTGTCAGTGCTGTGTGGGCCAGGAAGTGAATCAGGCTTCAGGAACACTAAGTGTCCAGTCTTCCCCTGGTGTGCCTACACTGCACACTGGTCTCCTCTTCCCACACCAGACTGGACACTCTGCTCAGGGTCAGGGTCAGGTGAACTGGGTTCAGAATCACAGCTGGACACCAGGCTCTCCTCTCTCTACCTCACTCACTGCGTCTCACCTGGGCACTCGTCTCTCTATGTAGTTTCTGGGCACAAAGCCTTCATGACCGTGAAGCTCGGCTCTGAACCAGTCATCTTGAGTCGCTAAGATCTGAAAGAGAGAGAGAGAGGGGTTCACACAGACACACTGACTGGACACTCCAGTACATGAACACTGCACTGAGAGAGAGAGGGGTTCATACAGACACACTGACTGGACACTCCAGTACATTAACACCGCACTGAGAGAGACCATCACCAGTGTGTAGCCCCCATCTGGATGATGCGACAGCAGCCAGAGTGATCCAGTACACTCACCACACACCAGCTCCCAGTGGGGAGGAGAACAGAGCGATGAAGCCAGTTCAGAGATGGGGATTATTAGGAGGCCATGATTGGCAACGGCCAATCTCTTTAGTTATCGCTTTAGTCTTGACCTTTGACTACAAGGAGACTTGATTCAGTTATTAAAAATCCTCAAAAGTGCTGACAAATTTGACCCAAAGGAACTCTTAAGAGCCAGCAGTGAAAGACCGTAAAATGAGTGGGAACACATTTAAGACGGAGAACAACAGGGTGCCTCTTTACCCAAAGAGTGGTGGGAGCGTGGAACAAGCGGCCCAGCCATATTGTTTCAGCCGATACTCTGGCTGCTTCCAAAATGAGATGGAAGATATCCTTGGGTCAACTAGCTACTTGCTACCAGATGAGCTCAAGGAGCTGAACAGCTGCTTTCTTGTCACTTTTCCTGAGTGATTTCAGCTGGTGGCACCAACAACGGCTGAAATGACTGGAGAGAGATCGACCAGGAGAAGCTGGAGTTTCAGAGAAGCAAACTGAATCTTAAATGTACCAAGGTGTCGTCAACAGCTCTGAGCCACAGCGTCCCTGTAACTGAAAAGTACTGGACAAACCGGGCTCCTGTGGAAATACTTCCAACACATTTCTGCTCGCCTTTAACACCCGAGCTGCCTCCTGAAATCTGCTTTCAATTTACAGGCAGGAAGTGAAAAACCACAGGCAAACATTTTATTGTTTGACAAAGACGCAAGAAACATGGGATTTTAATGCCAGATAATCACAGCATTTTACAGCGGCTGCACTTCCTCTTAACGAGGATTAATTCGGCATTAAAACGCCGTGCTCTCACTTGCGCAGAGCCCCTGAATTCCACAGTGAAATAAAAGAGGCAAGCTGAGCTGGCTTTATGAGCCAGTGTGCTGGGATGGAGCAGAACGAGCTAAATTAGCTCTGTTATCGCTTCTGTTAATGTGTTGTCCCGGCTGTCACCAACCTGCGCTGCGGTCTTAAAGAGACAATGTCGAAAATCCCCAAACAGGAGAGACCACAAACCTCATCCCAGCCTAACCGATTCCCAGGTTAGCGCTTATTGGATTGGATTTTTCCAGGAGGGAAGCAGAGAGACTGTGTTGAAGCTAGAACTGTACCATCAGACAGTAAATACTACTGTAGGCCACTCGAATGCCATTGCTACAGAAGTCGTTCTTCCTTAAAGAACCAGAGAATCTCCCAAGAGTAAGAGAAAAATCTGGAGCAGCTGGGGGGACGCAGGAATGAGCGCTCCGCCGCCCCTCTTTCCACAGAATACATGGCTGCTCTCAGGAGTGCCCCCCCCCAGTTGTGAAAAGGCAACAGAATTTAAATGCAGGCCCCCCCCCACCCCAATATCAAGTATTTTTTGACATGTCGTTACTGACGGAGGAGGGGGTGTTTATTAATTCTTGGGGGTGCAGAACAAGTCATAACAGGGCCCCTCGTCTCCAGTGGGGGTTGGATTATTACTGGGGTACACCCTCTCTCTTGTCTTGGGGTGCCACGGGGGGCATGAACTCGGTGGCCCCTGCTGGCTCCCCTCTCCCCCAGACGAAGTTTCGCAAAATCAGTTCTCGAAGTCCGCGCCATCGTTTTCCGATTGCCCCTGAACGGGCGAAGAGGGAGTGCAAATGTCCCAAGCATCAGCCTCCTGTTCCGACAGCTCGTTCCACATGCAGGCCTTGGCTTTCGCCTTTCCGCTGGTCAGAACTGCCCACGTCACCGCGGTCGCGGTCTCTGCTATTTCTTTTTTAGAAACGCCCCTTTGCCAACAAAAAGAGTGAGGTCAGCTCAAGTGGTTAATTGCTCGAGCGATTCTCCATTCGAGATCTATTCATGCAGCCGGATGCGCTAGGTTATCGCTGAGCAGACTGCGCCTCTGGTGTCCAAGGAGAGCTCGTGAGGATAACTCTTCACCTACTTGTTTAAATCTTGCCTGTCTGGCGGTGACCTTTGACCCCCGGGCCCCAGCAGCAGGGCCAGGGAAAGAGGTGGAGGCGAACCCAATGAGCGCTGCTGCTCTGCCGGTCCGTTCGTTAGCGGGAGGGACCACACCGTTTCCTGCGCGTTCGTGAAAGCGTCCGGCCCAGCCGACTGAAGCAGGGGTTCCGATTTGAAACCACGGCAACCGCGTGGGTGCTTCCGCTGGGAACAGTCCTGCGTGCCGGGGGGGGGCTTCTCCTCCAAGAATAAACCCACCCAAAGACCAAAGACCCATCTGTGCGTCTGTGCATCGGTCCAAATTAGCAGGTATCGCAGTGAGGTCAGTTAAGGAGCTCGAGGTCCTCCTGGGGAGATGGGGAGGGGCTGGAGACGCAGTGGTTTTTCAGCTTTCCTGTAGCCTTGCGGTTGTTACGCTGTACCACGTGCCTGGAGAGACGCCAGGGCTGCTGAACTTCCTCCCAACAACCCCCCAACGTGTGCACGCTCTCTCACTCTCTCTCTCTGCTCCACCGTCAGGCGGGGGGCTGGTCTGGTCACAGACCACAGCCACATCTCCCTCCCGCCCCCAGATCAAGCCTCTCTCTCTCTCTGCGCCGGGTCGAGATCAAGAGCAGGGATCAAACGCGCCGACTGCGGCGCCCAGCGAGAGGGAGGCATGGCGCGGGGCCGGACGAGCGGCGCGGCGGATGTGAAACGCTGAGGAGCGCTTTGGCGCGGGCGTGGGAGGGAAAGAGGAAGAGAGAGCTTCTGCCTCGTCTACCTCTCCACCCACAGCTCCGTCGTGATGGACTGATACTGCACTTGGGCAGCGCTGCAGACGTACAGTACAGGAGCCCAGGAGCCGTACCGGTACAGTGCACAGGGCTCTCGCAGTCTGCGACGTCAGCTCACGCTGTAACCCAGTGACCTGCATGGGCTGCAGGACCCCCAGGGCCTTAACCCAACCCTTAACCAACGCCCTGAGCTAACTTTCGCCTTTTTGAAGCGGGCTCTTCGGAGCTGTGAAATAATCTATTCAGCCTGCCGCATCGCGATAGTCACTCCTAGCTCCGTCAAACTTTCTTCCACCGAAAAGATACGTTTTTCTTTTTTAAAAAAAGGAGATGACTGACAGGCATCAGCGTTCTGGACTCTTTAACTGGAAGGTTGTGGGTTCAAATCCCAGCTCTCCAGCTTTAGAAAGGGGTGTTAAGGTTACCTAAGATAAAAGCATCAGTCATGGACAATTATTGTTAAGATGACCAGTTTGGGATCTCCCGAAGGTTTAGCTGGTAGAGGTGTCTGTGAGAGTGCCGGTTGACCCATGCAATCACGATTCGGACCCTGGGCGACGTCACTACAGTAGCTGACAGGTGATATTAGTCTTTGAAGTATGAAATCTAATTACTGTGGCCCTTGATAGTTAGTAAACTGCACAAGCAGTTTCCACTGGGCACAGCAGGCCCACTGGTACTGCTCATCCACTCCCCACTCCGAACCTGACAAGGACGGATAAATCGATGGCATTTCCACAGACTCCCAGACTCCCCTCCGCCAGGGCTGACGTTACACGGGTCCAGACTGACGTAAGCCCTAGAAACGCCCTGGCTGACTGAATCCAACGTGCTTGGCGCAACTGAGCATCTTGGGAGAACTTGAGCATATATAGAAAAGGGACAGTAAAGACTGCCTTTCTCTCTCAAATTCTTCCTTCTTTTGGCCTGCACTGCTTAGATATTTTGAACTGACAGTACTCTCACAGTACCTTACTGGAAACAGCTGCAGGGGGGGTATTTCTGATGATACGGGGTGTGAAAGGTTTTCAACACCCCGGACGACCAGAGAGGGGACTTCCGGCGTACGTCTTTTGCAATGGCTCTCCCGGACCTGAGCTCACAGCGCGCAGGGACAAGACAGAGAGGCGGCGGCCTGCTGGCGGCGCTGAGAAGGCGGACCCACCGGGGGCCGGAGAGGGAAACCCCCCCCACCGCGCCAGTCCCCCGTGCAGTGGCTGCGTTTCGATCACAGCTCCTGCTCTGATCCGGACCGCACGGACCCGACCCGACGGGAAAGATCCAGGTAGCTCTGGTCGGAGCAGCACAGGGGTCAGGCGAGGGCAGCTGCATCTGCCCAGCAGGGCCCGCGGGCTGCTACAGGCTGCTGGGACCGATTCAGGGACAAGGGGAGGGAGACCCTTTTAGTCTGGGACTCTGCTCCTTGCCCTCCGGGCTTCTATTAGTCCCTGGCCCCACACAAAAACATTCCACTTGGAAACTGCCTCTGGAGCTCGCGATTGCAACACAAAAGTTTCGGGGGCGGCTGTAGGAGGAAGATTCCCCTGCTTTCCCTCCGACCTCCACCCTTTCTCCTTCTCATGAGGAGAACATAAAAGTCAGAACCCCGGGTTTGCGGGGAACAGGGCTGTGAATCTGAATGACGACCAGGTCAGCCTCTGTGTTCCTCATCTGTGAGCGAGCAGCCCCGATGAACAGGCCCTCCAAAATGAAGCCTGGTGGGGAAGAGAAACTACCGGCTGCTTTTTATCTCCTCCCTCTGTATAAACCTGTGCAGCGGGCCATGCCAAATAAGGGCCGCCGTGTAGGTTAGCTCTGAAGGGATACACATGTCTGAAGGTTCATTGCTTCTGCACTCATCCTTGCAAAGCAACTGCAGGTACAGCAACCTCAAGCGGAAGCTCAGAGGCGCAGGTTCCCATGATGCAAGTGAGAAGCTAGAACATGCTCGGGGTTGTCGCGATGTGCAGCGATCTGCTCCAGAGCCGGCCGAGCAGAGGCACACTCACAAACAAACACACTCACTCACACACACACACACACACAACATGTCTTCCCGCCACCTGACGTTAGTGCAAGCCTGCCCTGCCTGGGGACCTGCATCAGGCCCCCGCACGACACGCCCAAGTACGAGGTATCCCACAGGCCTTTGCGCCGCCCTGCGTTTAGGCGAGCAATGCCAAGCCGCGATCTGACAAGCTCAACGCAGCAGGCTTCTTCAAAGCCAATGGTGAAGCACGAAGCACGGGTTACAGGTGGAAACTGGGGGGGAAAGCGCATTTAAAACCAAGAAGGGGAGGCGCGTCTTTAGCCAAAGGGTGGTGGGAGCATGGCACAAGCTGCCCAAGCAGTGATGATATGGCTGATACCCCGGTTTCTTTCAGGAAACAGCCGGAAACTAACTGCCTGAGTGGCAGCACGTCCCGAATGGGCTCCTCTGGTTTGTAACCTGTCTTATGTTGGGTCCAAAATGAATCATCTGTGCCCCCATTAATATTGCAGAGCCCAGACAGAGCACAAAGGACTACATGTAAGGAGGAATCTACCAGCTGCACAGAAGTGACACATTCAGATGAAAACTTCGGGAAATTCTTGGTAGTTTATGACATGCTTTACATGCTTCTATAAGCACCCAGGCAGACTAATACCTGACGCAGTCCTATTCTGGGATCGAGTCAGGTTTTCCCCCATGTGACACACACGCACTAAAGGTGCAGGGCAAACTCAGGGGCCCCTGCTGCCCCTGCCCTTACCTTGAGGATGTCTCCCTTGCGGAAGCTCAGCTCGTCCTCCGCAGTGGCGTTGAAATCGAACTTCCCTGTGGCTTCCATCTTGGGCACGGTGAGATCAAGGGCCAGGGGTCAGGGGTCAGGGGTCACAGAGCCGGGGTAAGAGACTTGTTCGGGCAGGCTGTGGAGAGGAGACAGGGGGGAGAGTTAGGCGCACACACACTTACAGTCTTTGTCTTAACATCCCCCCCCTGCGAGGCCCTGCCCCACAATTTCGTTTTCAATGAAAAGGTACTTTAAATTGCAGCACTTAGACGAAAGGGGAGTGTCGAACATGAACTCTACTAGCTCTGCGGCTTCACACTCCGGTCCACGCCTCACCCAGACATCACTCCCATGATGCTCTTTCCTCCCAGGGTATTTCCACCATCTCAGGATTTTCTTTCTCTTTGTGTTTTTGTTCTCTGACAGTTTTTTATTTATTTTTATTAAATGAGAATGTTGGCCAAACAAAAACAAACAAACGCAGAAGATAAATCTCGTTTTTTTCCCCAGGTTTCTAGTCTTTAACACTCAATTGAATTTAACTTGCCTTCCTTGCACAAGACCTTGTACAAAAACCCCGAACCTACTGGCCTCTCTCCAGCACTCCGCAGGGGTGGCCCGCACCAGGTCCACCTGCAGGTCCTACCCCAGGAGCTGCCCCCGGGTTCAAGGACCCCCGTCTGCCTCTCTGGGGTTCACCTCCGGTCTGCAGTGCACACGCTGTGCTTAAGCCAGCACTGCTTGACGTGATTAATCTTCTTACACGTGGCCTTCGGAGCGGACTTTGCTCAGTAAGAGAGGAACTATCGTGTGCCTGGCAGAGGCCATAAATAAATCCTGCGTCCCCGCAGAGCCTGTTTGACTGTGGGGGAGCCGACAGGAAGTGCTGAGGAGGGAGCCGAGCAACACAGCGGCACCAGGTTCATGATGCCGAGTTTGAGGCGCAAGAGGGGCGTGGGGACTCTGGGGGGGCCCCTTCCACCCCTCGGGCCTGCTCTGACAGAGGCCTGCGAGTGTGGACAGGGGGGGGCGGGGTCTTGGGGAGACGGAGAGACAGCCAGACGGGGCCGGAGCGCGAGACCACAGGCTCTGCAGGGGGCCCGTGTGCTCTCGGTGTGCTCAGAATACACAGACCCCCAGCCATCCTGCTGCCATTGCAAAACACCAGAATCAGAATTATTTCTCCCTATATTCCTAACATCAAGCCAGCGTTATTGATGATGATGATGATGAAGAAGAAGAAGAGATCTGGCACGGAAAATCCAGTGGTGGAAAACAGAAGGACATAGTGTGATGGCTTTATAAATCCAGTCACGTTATCAGTCGCGCTGAAATTCCCAGCTAAGTATTATCAAGTCACAGGAACGTACAGGGCACAGAAACCATGGCCACCTGGTTATAACAAACAAGACAGCGGAACTGGGGGTATCGGAATACCAGACTAGAGCTCAGAGGGGCACCTCAGCCCACTTCTTTTAGCAATCGTGATCACCACTGGCGCTCTGGACCTGGCTCTGGGGCCGAGAGGAAACTCGGAAGTGAAAAATCACAAGACGGCTCACAGGGGCCAGCGCCAACACTCACACACGGAGGAGACTGCTCTGGGAAAGCACCGTGTCGATGTGCTGGGTCTTTCAGGTCCCCGACGCACCCTGAAAGACTTCCAGATGATGAAAGCACCGGCCCTCTGCGCTGCAACATCTTTGCACAACACAGCAGGTAAATAAATGATCTGTTACAGGATGTTTCTTTTCTGGGTATTTCCATCCACACTGTACAGAGTCTACCTGCCTGAATGTGTGTTGCTTGGCACAGATTCAGAACTGAACAGCACTGGGCTTTCCGATCATGAACTACGGTTTGCTTCCTGGCAGAACGAGGAAGAAAAAACAAAAAAATATCCCTCTGGCAGCTACTGGACTGAAAGAAATACCACAGCTGACCCACACCTGAATTCACCAGCACATACAAACACCTGACTGGACTGGAGACACTGCTAGAGACTCTGCTGTCCCTCTCCTCTCACACTGCCCCTGAATTCACACACTGA